ACGAAAAAATATAGTAATGTACATTTGATTCGATAGTATAGCGAGGCGATAAACCGATAAGATATTGTCGTAGACCACAGATATAATATAATATAGACATAATACTCCGTGTCGAAGACATAGAAGGCTACAGCGAAAGTTATAAAAATAGATAGTGTGAACTGAACTGAAGTGGGTATATACGTGCGTATATTAGATACGGTATACTTATAATTAAATTTGATTTCGTCTTCGTATATATATAGATAAATAAATTTTTTCATTACTCTACATTATTATTATCTATACTTTAGGTAAACGGGCCATTTGGCTTCCAGGCCACCGGGATTTTTCCCGGTATCCCGGTGGGCCACTCCGCCCCTGGCTATGTGTCTTGACAAAATAATATTATGTTTAAGTACCATATAAGTAGGCGCCGTACACTCTTATTCCATGATCCGCAAACTAATAACAAGTAATTGATTTACTTTTTTTAAACCGAGTAGGTAAAACCGATATTTTTTTCCAAATTAACTTTAAATTCAGCGAATTTATATTAGTTTTTCGTAAAATATTAACTTCTAACTTATCCATATTGTGTTCACTTAACTTAACCGTACTTGAGTTAATTATTTCAAGTGTAACAACAAGTTACTCACCTAATTTGTCTTTTTGCAACGAAGAAAATGCTGTAAGTATGTGATTTTGTACCCCACCAATCAGTGACTTTCATTCTTGTAATATTGGTTCACATTATGAATTTAAAATATAAACATTGAAGGTATAAGATATCCTGAAACGACGTTAGAAATAATTAGAAAGTTAGATACGATAATTTACGGTTTTTCGGTTACCCGACTAATACTAGGTATAATATCAACATTTTCAAAAAATATCACTCGCTAAAAGATTTTTAGTAAAAAGGGTGGAGGGAGAATGGGGGGAAGTTCAGTTTTGAAAACAGAACCTCGAGTTGTACAAAAAATTGTCACTGAGTAGATACCTATATCTTTAAAAATTTCACAAATCTGAATTTAAATTCATTCATTTAAAAATGGAAAAAAGTGGGATGAGCATGCTTGGCGAATCGACCTGTATATGTACACAGTATAAATGAAATAGAATACGCTGATCGGTGTTGTACGGTTGAGAACGTATCACCTTTTTAGCAACACGATTGAGAACGATGTCGGCAGATCAAAGAAACAATTATTGTAATAACGCAAAAATTAAAAGAATAAAATAATTTAAAAAATAAAATAAATTATAGAAATCAATCGTAAATGTTAGTACGACGCCTGCCGACACTAATATTCAAGATGATCTAAATTTACGTTAATACCTTCCTCCTGATCGTCGGAGGGTTCTCGAGGTCGTGTTCTCGAGAATTTGATCAAATACACTTCTATGATGTAAATGTAAATGCATGCACATATAATTTAATATAAGGCAGGCAACAATACTATATTTTATATTTTAATATGTCTTACCTGACTCGCAGTTGTCACTAGGTTGGCAGTGGGAGTTTTAGGTGACACAAAATTAATTATTTAATATACTCGAAAAAATAAAGAAACACACTGATTATTGCTCGTCAAAAGGAGTCCAGTTGTCGCTCGTAGAATTCGGTATAGAGAGGTTGTTAATCTGTTTGGTGGTGCGCCTGCACTCGTGAGAGGCTGTTTCACTCGAGGAAGGTGCTCATGCACTGCCGAAGGGACGATCCGGTTGTGCCGGCCAGAGAGTGATAGGCGGCTTCATCAAAAGGTTGTTTTGTACATCCGATTTCTCTTCTGTGACAAGGACCTTTTTTACCATACCTTTTCTCCGGCGGCATGTAAGAAAGCCACACGTCCTACGCTCTACAGTTGCAAACATAGGTACGTGTCGATTTCTTAATCCCTGATCGTATAATATAATTAGACAATTTTGTCTGTGACAATAATTTATTGGGGTCTAGAGATTTCCGATTTCTACGTGTGACAGTCTGGCCGTTATTTATTTATTTGTTATATCTTAAATAATTGTTACAATGATGTGTGAGCATATCATTACACAATATTTTGTACCTTAAAATCAAACTATTGAGAACGATATTTCCAGCGACGTTGCCATTTATCTTAACTTTTAGTAATAGTTTTTTGGGCTGGGATTTTGATGCAAAGGCATCTTTTTTTGGTGTTTTGAAACGTTGTTTTGTAAGTATAAAATGTGTAAACTGATTTTTTTTTGTATTTTTTTAAAAAAAAATGCATTTTTTATACAATTTACGACAATTCATGCGATTAACAAGAGACATTTGGCTCACCGTCGATGGTTAATAATAAATTATCATAGCTAGGCTCTTACGCTCAAACTATTGCCGTTATAAATACCTATATACCATACATATATATATAGGTACCATGATATGTGTGTGTGTTTTAATCAAATTTAAAATTTAAATATGATTTTTTTGTTAACAATTTATTAAATGTTTAACTTTAATAGCTAAGGATTGAAAATTTAAACCAAAATTTTTGGTTTTGTAAACAAAACATAGTGATTGATATCTTATATATATATTTTATATTGTATTTTTATTGTTTTTATTTTTAATTGATGTGGCAACGTTGCATAAAAGTTAGCAGGTAAGAACGTTCTCAATCGTGCTATTAAAAAAGGTACGGCCGATGAGGACCGTTCTACCCAGTTCTACCGTTCTACCTTTCTATCGTGTTCTACCCGTGCTGGTATAGTACATGATATCATTGAGTATACCATAGTGACCAGTGGCTCACAGTGTTTTGCAGTTAAAAAAAGTTACCCGTCCATTTTTTTTATATTTTAAAAAAGTATTCTTGCTGCACTCCACAAATACTCGATTGTGCTCACTTATTAACCACTGCAGTTAACGAAAATTAATTAGTATGGACTATTGTTTGTACTAAGAATGTACGAGCTTTTCTGTGACACCATAGTAACTTACACACGCCCCCAACGAGAGCACGGCATGCAGTTGTAGTACTTGCTGCGACCCGTCTGGGCGCCACTGAAAGTTTAATGAAAATATGCAAAAAAAAATGTTTATGTGTGCCTATAAAAATTGGATAGCTGCATCATTTCTAGACAATGTATAGAATATAGTGTATACTGTATATAGAGTATAGACTATAGTCGATATGCACTTTCAAAATGATTTATTAGTTCTAACTTATAAATGTGTAAGTCAATAACTCAAATTACTGACAAACTATAACGACTAACAAGATATCGTTAGGTAAATAATATAACATAATACAATTACGAAAATAATATATTGTAGCTTGAGGCTCCTTTAGTTTCAGATTCCAAGTGAACGGATGTCACCGGAACATAAAACTACAAAAGTATTTTTTTACAGACGAAAATAATAATAATAATATTTCATTTAAAAATGAAATAATATCTACTTCAAAAAAAAAAAAAATGTCCGTTTCAAGTTGTTACTATTATTATTGTCATTTTATTGTTACCTACCTACTTGTGTAATCTTCATAATATTCAATTTCGTTTCATATTCTTATACAATTTTACGATTTTTTAGTGTACCAGGTACACAAAGCTAGGAAGGTACATTGATTCGTGATTTCGTTATGAAATAAATTATATCAATAAAACACAAATAAGCATTTATACATTTTAATTTTAAATCCAAAACAATTGCGATCGATCAAAAAACAAAATAATATAACCACATCTATTTTAAACCACCTTTATCCGTTTATAATCGCTACTCAAGGTGACCCGTTTTACGATTGTGAGTAGTTTTTTTTTTTACTCAAACTGTTAGTGTAATTTTAAGACATACTTAAAAAATTATCTTAGCTCGACAGATTATTAAATATTTGGGCTGTGCAAGTGCAATGTAAATATAAATGCGTAGGTACAAGTGGTCATTATAGCTTAAAATTCTTTGAAATATCTCAAAAATACATTTTGTCCATGTGCTCCTCTTGAGACGCAACAATATTGTCGATTGCACGAAATGATTATCAATAATTTATTAAACCGTTGAAAATACTATAATATTCAAACTTGGCTACGTGAACTCGGTTTGTTATTCGCATCATTTGTATTATAATAATTCGTATTTTATTGATAAAAATAAAACTTTGACGTTGCCACCCCAATGATGCAGCTTCACGAGAGAGTAAATCAAAAAAATACCACAATCGGAGAAAACGGATAACTTAAAAAAAAATACATAACCGACTATCGACGGCCAATAATCTTTTACCAGTTACCACAATATCACAGATCGCCATCAAACCCATATTTTGAGGGGCTAAAAATAATCTATTATCAAATATTTGTAACATTTGATTTAGTAAAATTACTGAAATATTAAATAAAATGGATGGGGGGTGGGGATTAACTCGTTTGATTTTAAGGGTCTCACCATCTCCAACGTACCCCTAATTGAGCCTTAGTGTTTGTCTATGAGTTTTCCTTTGACAGACGAATAACTTATGTTCTAAGTACAACGATGTATAATATGTATACGCATACTAAGGTGTACCTGCAGAAACAGCTTTTATTCCAATCAATATTTAAACATCTTTATGTTATGCCACGAGTACGGTTTGCAATTTTTCATTTTTTATTTTTAATACTGAAAATTATGAATTGTATTACATTTTTTACTAAAAATCTTTTGACATTACCACATGTCATGTAGATTAGTTAAGATTTCGGTTCTATTAATATCTGTAAGTACGTACACTTAGTGTTGTACTCGTATTCTCATAATATGATGTCCTCGACTGTAGTGAAATTATCATTGTACATAGTAAGACCATTAATCGAAATATATTCTATTTGATTAAAAAATATAATATAAAAAACTACATAATATTCATCTTGTCATAATATTTTAATTAAAATATCACTTAGGCCACCTCATATTATATAATATATTAAAATTAGAGTAAACAAAAGTAGATAATACAATAAACCTCTTGAAAAAAATTTCATATAAAACGAGTTTTTTGACATTCGATTGTTCAATAGGTAATAAAACGTCATTAGATCGATTTACTTTCAAAATAATAAATTATTTTTATACGTTTTTACGACCGAACCATGTTTTTAATTTCGTGGATTTTAACTGCGTTTTTTATTGCAATAGCATTCAGCGCTCGTATAAGCGAAAACGATCCGGGTCATTCGTCTCAAAATATATGGGCTGTTCTAGTTGCTGGCTCACACAGGTGGTTGCGGTACCGACATCAGGTATAAGATTAAAATATTATAATTGGGGCCTGGATTTAAATGCTACGGAAACTGTCAAAATATTCTATAAAAAACAACCAAAAATGCCTGGAGTTATGAATTTTCATCTCAAAAGGTAGCCCTCAAAAAATGACTTACCTACATTTTTTTTTTACTGACATGTAATTAAATTATACGCAATTGACGGAGAATCGACGGCTTAACTTTTTTCATTTCTAGCGTTTCTTTACCTTTTTACTTAACTGACAATATAATAAAATACTTTGCAAGCTAAATGAAGTAAGTACCTCCATAAAAATCTGTAGGATATAAATGCGATGGCTATGTATCTCCGCAATCGACCACTTTGTAGCAGTACTCGCCGTTTATCGATCTCACTTTGGGACCAGAGTACATATGAGTCCAAATTAACCGAATGAATTAATAAGGCCAATTAGGTCCAATAGTTGAAATACTTACAAATTATGCATTATAATAGAAAAATAAAATTTGGCTATGTACTGATAAATATTATTCATTATTTGGTATGCCTTTATTTGTGTACTTGAAACGTACGTTGTCACTCATAAAGATAATAAACATGATAACCATCAATAAAATGTAAAATTATTTATTTTTTCAAAAACATTGTTTCATAAATAACGAATTCAAAGGTGTAAAAAATATTTTCAAATGTTTAATTATTTTCTGTGGGATAAGTAAGTCGAGGAAATAGTGTATAATAATCGATACAGTCGGGTAAATGGGCTGAGCACTGAGGAAACATGCCCTTGAAAATATACAATGACCCATTAACCAGTGTGGAGTGTCCGATATAGACGAACATTTTTCTGTGTGTAATTTTTGTAAAATATGTAAATCGGGACCGGCAAGTTTGATTAAAACTGATTGCCATTGATTTATAATCTCCGAGGGGCGTCCCCACTGCAGAATTTAACGAACGTGGACGAATGCGCAGATTTCTGGTCCAAATATTCGCGGGCTCTGTTTTCAGTGTAAACGTACCCAAGAGAGTGCCAAGAGAACATCTTCAAACGTTTTCGTTTGCGTTCGCAGACGATCTCTAGGGTGGTATACATGAAAGGAAATATTATTTGGGCAATGGTATACATGGTATTAATGATGCGTGACCAATACTGGTATTTACCCGAACGACTGTTGCAGTTTACCCCGAATACTGTGCCGATTCCGTATTGATTTTGCACAGAGGAAGTACTCGAGATAAAAGTGGAAGCGTCGTAGTACAGTGTTTTGATTGAAATTAGTTTTCATTTTTTTTTTTTTTTTATTGAATTTTAAACGATTTGGAATGGAATGATGAGCAATTTTTTTTTAATTAATACAAAACATTGTATAAGGACCGCCCGATTGTTTGTTGGAATCTCAAGTGTTCACAAATTATTCAAACCGAGCAAAGACAAACTGATGGAATGCTTTGGAGAGATTTCACACTGAGTTGTACACAAATACCAAGATAAATGTATTAACTATATCATATATAGTTTGAATGAACCCGCAGTTTCGGGTAAAAATGTATTATATGTTATCGCCAATCGTTCCCTCGGCGATTTGTATCTTTTTGTTTAGCAATAAGAGGTCTTACGACTCCAAGGAGTTTACTAAACATTTCTGGTGTCGAATATTTCCGTGAAAAGTTTCCAGAACCTTTCCTCAACACACGTATAATCCATAACAAATGATTACCACCGTGTGGTTGACTCCGTGCCGGTTCAAAGATATGTCATTCACAAACGACGAACTTAACGTTTTTTAGTATTATTATTATTTTTTTTTACACAATTCTTTTATTATAATAAACAATTAACCGGCTTCAAAATCGTTTCATCATCTTCGTGACTTGACGAAATATAATATGGCCGCACAATGCGAACCTATTACTGAATTATAATAATAATAAATTAATAACAATGCAAATTAAATAAAAATATTGACAGGTGCGCAAACAACAAAAGTATACAAGCGAAGATTACCAACAATAAAATAATTGCTTAATATAACAACGATGAACGAATTTGATTTGAACTCAATTTTATCGAATACTTATTTACATCGTACCAAATGTCTACGAATGACGATTGACATAATGACATATCTAACGATGTGCACCATTAATTTGCAACCGTTGAATGGCATTGGTTCTCGAGTGTACTGTGGCTCGGTGTTTGAAACATTCACTAAAAAAATTAGCACGTTCATCAGGTCGTTAATTTGAATTTTTTAAATTTTTTTGTAATGAGAAAATATAATTATATGATATAATTTATCATTATGTCTTAAACACGTATTTTTTAAATGTCAAATAAATTGAGCGTCTTAAAAATCTTTCAAGTTCGTTAAAATATAAATGTCGTTCGCGTTCAATTTGAAAAAAAAAACGAGTGACGTTCGAGTACCTACCGTTCACTAAATATGAACGTGAACGTGAGAGAGTGCGTTCATGGACGACGTTCTTCCCAAATACTGTCTTGCTTGTGAATTAAAAACCGTTTTATCATCTCCGTTTGAATACCTTAATTGAGAGCCAGGATTATAATTCCTTGAGAATTAAAAAAAAAACCAAAGTAAATAACCAAAGCTGCTCGAAAAAATGTTTATTCAACGCGATAACCATTTCCTTACAAAATGACCCACATTTTTTTTATAGGTCCTCGTTTACGCTACCGATAGAAAACCGATGGTTTAACTTTCGGAATTTCCAACATTTTATCGAACGATGTAATTCATATGTATATTTTGGTACGGATAAAAAAGGTCTAAAAAGTGTAAAAGCAAATACTATAGTAAAAATATTTCTCGATGTAATATTTTGCATTTGAAAAAATACGAAATAAATGAGTTTTTTAAATCATTTTTTTTAAGTATCTGTTGTTATATGAATCGAATTATGAACTATTGGAATGCATTGCCCCAGAACACCCGAAAATGCTCAAAGCGCACTTAGCATTGAAATCTGGGTCCTATTATTTATTATTTGATAATATATGGTGCAGTGGCCTGATGCGTCTTGTTGGTCGAATCGCACCAAAGTAATATAATAATAAACATTTAGTTAATAAATTAAGCTTTTTAATTCCCAGATAGGTAGGTAAGTTAGGTATTATCTAGTTATTTTTGTTAATTTCTCGGGCTATACGATTTAATTCGAAAGAGAACTGCTGTACATACCTACCTATCGTTTAGGACCTACCTATATTGCCTACAAAAAATATATTTTGTTCGTTCCAGCATAATTTATTGTTGAAATATATGTATACGAAGTATAATATTTTCATTAAAAATTATCACTATTGAACTCAGCTGGAATATTTTGATATGTAAAATGTATTGGAACAGGTTGTTTTTAAAATTTAACCAGCAATATTCTATGCGATTTTCAATTTATATTTTATATTTTAGTTGCCACCATAATTGCGTATAATTATTTAACTTAAACCGATTTAGTTTTAAGAGGTCGCGAAAAAACACTATGAGGATAAGTATAATTAAGTAATTAAGTGGTATTAATTCGAGGGGCTATAAGTATAAGCCGACATTATTTTGACCGACAGCAGGTACCCAAATAATAATAATATATCGGTCGGCGGAATATATTATTTTAACAGATAATTAATATTTGAGCCGACCGTAAGCCGAGACAGTATTATAGGACAAATATTTTAGGCTTATTCCACCTTATACTTTACTGCCTGCGTTCGAGTCGGGTACGAAAAGTATAATAACTACAGTTCTAAATTGCAGTTTTTCGTGAATCGGATACTTCGCCAGAATTTAGGTCCTGGAAAATGATAAAATGACGTGTCTGAAGTGGCTCCATGTGTAAAATTATTTGTGTTATCGTTGTATAAGTATAATATTATAATAAGTAGTTTGGAAGTTATAGGAAAATGGTAAAATATGCATGTGAATAAATGTCGAAAACGCAAAAAAATTTGAGAAACGTTCACAAAAATTCAAATTTCCGTCAAAAAGAATTTATATTGTTATTAATTTGCACTATAGAAACTTAAAATATGAAAAATTAATTTATAATACTAAGATATGGCGGAAAACTGTACTTGATTTTAACATTTTATTGAACTGAAAAACTTATTAGAAAAGATAAACTTATCATCGTTATATTAGTGCCATAGAGATTAAATAATAATGTGCATCATACTTTTGTGGTTAAATTAAAATTTTACTGCGACAATAGCAATAGATGCCTACCTACATTAAATAATATCGAGTTATACATTTCCAATATTATAGAAAATATTAAACGTGAAAATCAAGAAATATGCTTTTTTTTTAAACTGAGGAAATATGCATAATAGGCATTTTCGATTTTCGAGATTTAAACTCACAGTCGTATAGCTCGGATTTTTAGTTTGGTCTGCTATAAATCGATAACACATTGAATAAAATGCAACTCCTACAATTTACAAACCTTAGTTATGACCCGTGCCTACGAATAGCCTATATATATATATGTTACAGTTAAAGTGTTGAATTCCGTTATTTTATGAAATAACTAGGTAGTTCATGAATTACCTACGAATGTTAGTTAAAGTACCTATGAAACAATACATGAAAATTGTACTTTAACTAGTTATTTCATAGAATATCTAATTATTATATACAATTTCAGTTTGATATCCGTTAAAGTATAAAATACATTAAAATTTAAAGTACCTATATATTAAAATATTTTATTTTACTGAATTAATTATAGTTTTATTATTTATCTATATTTGTTCGTGTAAGGCTATTATGGCGTTTAGAGTTGCACAATACTTTTTTTTTCTACAAACATATCGCTTCGTGCCACATGTTTTGGTACAAGTTCACTTAAAAAAACCCTGACCAGTTCAAAGTGACTGCGCAGTTGCCGCAGATCTTAATGTAATACTTTTATTTGGAACTTCTACAGCTAACAAATTTTCTGAACATACTGTGAACTGTGAACTGGGATCAAGAGTATAGTTGTAATAACACTCTTCAAGACTTCAACATACTCTTGTAATTATAATGTGTAGGTAGGTATCGAATAAATAAAAAATAAAAGGTTAGGTCAATCTTATCTGATTTTGTTATATTAAATTGATGAAAATGTTAGAACTATATTTATTATATTTTGTTATTTACAATTTGACACATTAACGAAGTGATACCAGGGAATGTATAAAATAACTATAGTTAAAGTATAAATTATATACATTACCTACAAGTTTTAGTTATTTTATAAATTACCTAGTTATTTCATAAACGAACTGATTCAACACTTTAACTGTAACATATATATATATATATATTATATATATATATAGGTAGGTACGTGCATATTCCGAGTACTTTTGAAAACAAAATTTTTTCGTGTTTTCATTCTTACCATCATACTTCTACTAAAATAGCCTCCAATATTGGTTCCACAGTGATGATGATATTTTCTAAAAGCATCTTGTTGATATTGGTATTTTATTTGTTATTTAAATGTTCAACAATAAACGAATAAAGTAACATTTTTAAAATACCGTCAATTTCTAGTCCACATTAATTCTTTCGGTGTAATATTTAAACATAGGTAATCTTTTTTTGAATAGACACAATTATTCGCTCAAATAAAATAAAAACTATTATTTATAACACGAATTCAACACATTTAAATGATGCACCTGTATTTTTCAGTCCAATGTATGTCATGCTTACAAAATACTGAGGGAAAATGGCATTCCGAAAGAACGTATCATTACATTTATGTACGATGATATTGCATACAATTCAGAGTGAGTTATTATACTGTTATTGTTTTTATCGATTAATCGTACATTATTATAAGTTTTGAGTTTTCAACCCATAATATAACACCTCACTATAGGCACTGCGAGTACTTACAGCTGGTTATAATAAATATCGGCTGATATAGAATTTAGTTGGGGTTTATAGTCACCCTAAGTTAATATACATTTTGTGTACGAATAAAAAAAAATATAAGCAACAAAAATAATGTCCGAACACAAAAGAAGATAGGTATGGACCCACAAAGAAGAAGACTATTAGTCTATCGTCCAAAGGCGAGCTGGCAGGACGGAGGACGGCTGGAGATTTCCCGGTGTCCTGATACGCATGTTGATGTCCTTAATGCCTATAGAAAAAACCTCATTATTCTATTTAAATCTCCAGGCCTAAAAAATCCTTACGCGCCTACATATTTATTGATGTTATACAATGCAACAGGAGTGAAAAATGTGGACTACTTATCCACTATAGGATTTTTAGAAGAAAATGTACTCTGAGTGTTTTTAATATTTAAACATGAGATATGATGGCAAAAATGAAATGCAAACTAGTTTGTAATTAAATTTGAAATTGCTTAAATGTTTCACTTTTTTCAAATGTGACCGAAGTTTACCAAAAATACCTAATGAGTGCAATAAATATAACTTATTTTTTTAAATTAAATTAAATTAAATCGTATTAATCACCATAACACAGAGTTAGTTTTGTATTTTAGTTGGTGAGATTCGTCAATTAACATATTTTTTTTGATATTCGATGGCGATACATTCGCAAAAAAAAAAAAAAAACCTTTTTTTTATTATAATATTAAAACATTCAAAGTAAATTTTTTCTATGAGTTCTAATAGTGGATGAGTCGTACACATTTTCACCCTCGTTCAACTGCATAACGTCAATAAATTCAGTGGGTACTTAAAAACCTAAAAATTCGCTCTAAAATTAGAAGGTACATTACAGTATATAAACAAATTTTTTAATGTTAATCATCACATTTTGTTCACAACTAGTGAATAGTAATGATTTTATAGGTTTTTAATCTCTTACTGAACAATACGATCAGTGCTTTGATGAAATGGACATCACATAATAAAATAATGACAGTGTTTGAAAATGCATGTATTTTATTGTGATATTTGTGTCGAGTGGGTGTTTATAATTTAATAGGTTATGTTTTTAGAAACAGCTGATCTTGATATCTGTTAAAATAACTAAATAGTAACATTTTCAAAACTTCATTCAGTTTAAATGTTGTCAAGTGTGATGCGGCGTTTTTCGGGTAACTTTGCAGCCCAGTTACAAGGTGATATTTATGGTAGCATATTTTAATTATTTCGAGGGTGACTGAATTTAAACAATTTAGATTTCAAAGGAATAATTGTTTTCAAGTTTAAGCGTATCATTATACGCACTATGTACAATTAATGAATGATAATTATTATGTAAATATAGATATACGCTCATTTACAATAAATCATTTGTTTCTTATTGTAGCTATAATTGGTTGCAGGTTATAAAACTAATCAAATAAAAAAAACATATTTTATAAGTTCAAGGATTATTAAGAGAACACCTTAAGGTTTTTTTTACGGCATATTATTAGAATCATATCACTTTAAACTTTTAATAATCTATTAAATCCGCTCATCTTTTCAATTCTAATTAGTATTAATATTCAACCAAAACGAATTTACACAATGTATAGGTTAGAGTATACAGCGGTTATAATAAATTTTTAACCCATGTTCTTCTAATAGAGTAATAAATGTGAGTAAGCATTGAACTTTTTTGTAAATGCTAAATAAAATGTTGTTAAATGTTGTTCGGTTTAGTTTTTAGAACTTCGGTATCATTATTTTAATGAAAAAGCTGAACGAAAATAAGTTAAATACTTAATTTGAACGTTAGAAGCAGTAAAGCCTTTTTCTCGGTTTATTTCACAGGGTACTTTTACAGCAGTTTTTTAGTTGTAGAACAAATTATACAAATGTTTTTAATTCGATTATAAGATACAGTATTTTTGAATTGCATTAAATTAAAAACATTTTAATCTATATTTTTTTAGAAATCCCGAACCTGGTGTGATTAGAAACGAGCCAAATGGTATAAATGTTTATGAAGGTGTACCAATTGATTACACTGGAGAAGTAAGTATGGTTTTCCTACTTTGCTTATGACAACGATCGATCGTTATTACTTATTTCATAAAAATGTTGTTTGAAGACAGCGTATGTAATAAGTTTTATTCAAACACATTAAATTATCATAGTTATAATTATAGTAAGGATAATATGAACTGATTTCAAAATCTATTTTAAATATCGATGAAAATTCTCTGTGAAAATCAAATTTTTACAATGATATTAAAAATAGACGATGAAATTAAAAAATAAAATCTGTAAAATCGACGATTTGTTTCAAAATAATAATCGTTTTAAAAATGTTTATGTACATATCGAGGTAAAATCTAAAAATACGAATTCAAATTCAAGAGTAACCTGCAACGGTTAACAATATTGTAGTTCTTCATTAGTAGGTAATTACCGATTATTTAGGACGGTTTCGCATCGTATCGACGAACAAACGACGATCCACTTTAGGTATGGCCTGTTGGCTGCACGTAGAAAACCAAACTGAAACCGTAGAAATGTAACACTGATGTTTGAATCCTGTTTGAAAATCAGAAAATTTTAAATAGAATCTGATATTTTGAAACAATATAAAAATCAATAAATTATAAAATCAATAAATTTTTTAAATTTGTATTCAGAAAGAAACTTACATCGATAAGCATAAACTGAAATTACAATCAAACAATTTCATTTCGATTTCTAACATTGATTAATTGACAATCCTAGAGTGGCGTACAATGTACACTTGAGTTGTATTCAAGTGAATAGTTAGATATTTAACTAGTTTTATTGTCGCATATCAGTTTAGTGTACCCGTGTATTCTTATTTGTTGAAGAGTAATGAGTGTTTTAATTTTAATTTTTAGAATGTCAGAAAAGATGTATTTTTGAACGTTCTCCGAGGATACAAGATGAAGGTAAAAGGAATCGGAAGTGAAAGAGTGGTACTAAGGTAAGTTTGGTGTTGTGATTAGATTAAAATTAGAAACATATTAGAATAATATATTTCGTACTACATTAATATTATTGGAACCGAAGAAAAAAATTAAACCATCGATTTCGGGGATGTGAGTTGAGAAGTATCCATCCTATCCCCTGAAGTCGATGTAATTACAGACATTCAGAATATAACATTAGTTGTACAATTAACGGTATTGTTTTGTGATTAACATTAATTCTGTTTGAAATTTAAATCGAACCCGATAAATCTTGTCAAGAGTTGTCGAACGCATTCAGTTGACCCACCCGAAACCCATCAACTTCCAAAACGCGAGCGAAGAAAATTCACATTTGGATTCAGAGCAGAGCTATATCGACCATGAGCTATTAATTTTACAACGATTGTGTGTTGTCATTTTCCCAAGCTTCACCTGGTCACAGCGGGGGTCAAAAAGTAAAATGTCTATAGTTTACGAGTATACACGGTAATTTACCAAACCGTAACTCACCCCCTTTTTTTATCAAATTAATCCAGTTATTCGAAATCTGAAATTTGTAAGGACACTTGGTCAAAGACCATTTATTTCGAATTCTTGAATTTTTAGTACTACTTGAGGACTGAGGAGTGTCATGTGGAGTTACCAACTTCTGTTTTTAAAATGAGAACCCCCCTTTTTTACAGGAAATTATTTATAGAATTATTTTTTTGAAAATATTGACGTATTAGAATAAAAAAATGTTTTCGAGTTTTTGAGTCTGTAGTCTTAAGATAATAAGTCCACGATAATGGGCTTTGAAGATAAGGTGATTCGAATATTTTAGTGACCTTAATTGGTAAAAATGGTCCAATTTATTGTGATAAATACTAGACCGAATTCTAATGTTACATCTATTTTATATTATTGTAAAATCATTTTTAACAAATATAATTCATTTATATTCATATTTACATGAAACATTATAACAACTGAAAAATTATTCGTTTGAATTTTGAATTCAGAACAATTAAAAAAAAATTATCCATTACACTTTAACACAAAGTTCCTTTCTTACGTTGTCGATTGGCTTTAAATTGAAGAAAAAAAAGAAGATTTTTATTAATCAAACGATTTTGGTTATTTTGTTGCAATTCAAAAAAACGTATTAGCCATAAACATGAGTTTGCATTTAAAATACGTACTGTAGGTACTATTATATTATGATGGTGGGTATAATAATAGAAAAACACATTTCTTATAATTATTAAATAAATAAATCATAAAATATCCTCTGAAATAGATAGTCTTTTACGTGCCGCCTCAGCGCAGAATCGTTTTTTGTACTTGATGATTTATCATTCGATGTATTCAAAATCAACACAATATTGCGTTCAATCACTGTGACCCACTCAATGATGACAATTTATAGGTTCACTCCAAAGAGTTACAATCACACAATACCCGTAGTTACCTGCCAAAACACGACATGCGCCGAGCTTTTAAAATAACTGACATAAAAAAGCCAACTGTAATATTTCAATTAAATGTTTAAAAAACATCGATGAACCACCTGCAGCCGGAAACGCTCCTTGCTACAGACAAATGTCTACTGCACATAGTACTCTATATATCAGTGTTTCCCAAACGGTGTGCCGCAATGGGTGCAATCGGCGGCACATTGGTGTGCCGTGAGGCCTCTGTAGATGTGCCCCAAAATTTCACGATCGTTGACGTTAGGTTAAACGTTGACCTAAAATTTCGGTAATAGGTTGAAATATTTTTAATTATAATTGTAATAATATTTTTTTTTATCCCAAAGAAACACGCCGTTTTAAATTGTTTGTTAGTAATAAACTGGTATTCAACTACTTTGGTATTAATAATTAATATACGACGAGAGCCTACTATAAAAAAAAATATGCACACATATATATGTCAGCGACAAGACGTGTGCTTTGGCTAAATATGGGTTGAGATTAGTGTGCCGCGAGGGAAAAAGGTCGAGGGAAAAATATGTCACGCTGTCCCCTTTTGAGGCCGGTGCACCACAACTCATATAATAGATGAAATTCACGTCTTCCGGCCTAACATATTACGAAAGATTTCAAATGATGCGCATTGTCTAGGCAGAAACGAAGCCCTTCGCACAGACTTCGAAGTTTTTACAGCAAAAACTTACACGAGAAATCTGTCAACAATTTTTTCCAAACCACTAAAACGTGCGTAATATTTCCATCTAATAAGTGACCCTCCGCAGGCCTCGAAAGTAAACGCGCCCACGATATACTCACTCGACATAGTTATGTCTTGTTTGAAAAATGTATTTAACTTCCTTTTTTGTTCATTATTATGCGCACCGCGTTTATTGTTTATTCTACTGCTTTATTATTACGTATAATCTATTCTATTGTGATCATTGTCGATTGCTGTAAATAATTTTTAATCGTCTATATAATTGTTAGCGTGCCGAAAAAACAAAATATTAAAACATTAAGTTCAGATGACTATATATTGTCGGGAAAACTTTGAAACAAAATAATAGAAAAAAAAAACACGTTAAAAAGCAGACGATTATTAGTCACTGCGAAATGTATAAGCCGCGGAGACAGAGTATTATTTCAATCGAATAACATCAGGCGTATAATATGTTTGTTTATATTTTTATAAGATGGGTACAGATATTTATGGTATATTTTTTAATTTTTATTATTCGCGAGATTTTTAAAATACTTAATGATCCAAATATGACGTAATGATTTGACAACTATCAAAGCAGGTATTACATATTCACATTTTAAAATTGTATTCATTATTTTATCGATTTCAAGCACGGCAGCAATGACCGTTTATAGCTGTTTGTAAGTTTATAGTAGGTTTATTACTGCGGGAGAGGGTACGGTTGGTCACAACACCTGTTTGTGTGGTAAGGATTTGTCTTTAAAAACCCGGTTATGGTCACCCACCCGGTAGCTGGTGAAACCGACCGGTGCTTGCACTCAGAAACGAAACGTGACCGAATACAACCACCGTGCCACACCATGCCACATTGTACATATTTTATGTATACACGACAGTCGTACGTTTAAACGCATTTTATGCAACTACCTGCGCCAAAAACTTAAAAACATTTGAAATCACATAATACACGGTAGTTCAGTAGCCAAGCATTTTTTTTTATGGATGGGGGAGGGGGGTTTAATTCTCACTAAAAAAAAATCCCCATTCAACATCTCTTCACTTGCACTTTTTGTAAAATAATTATTTTTTAGTATAATATATTCTATGTATAACGTATGTTAATACGAACATTGAACACGGTGGCTGTTGGTTACCTAACCTGTTACCTAACCTATGGTGGGGGGCTGTAGCCCCATCATCCCCCTGACTACTCAACTGCAGTAAAATCGTACTTCGTGCCGGCTAGTATGATTGATGTATAATTTTGAATTATGTTTCCAGCACGAATAAAGACAATATTTTAATTTTCCACACGGGTCTTGGAGGCCACGGTGGACAAATCGAATTCCCGAATTCTGGCGAAGATGTGATGTTGCACGGAGACGAACTTGTGAGAACGTTTAAGCAAATGTACAACCGAAATGGTTATAAACATGTAATATAAGCGTATTTTTTTTTTAATCATAAATTCACAACACTCGTCACTGTGCAAGCGATATAATAATATTTCGTCATTTTGACGCAGTTATTGATGTACTTAGAATCGAGTCATTCTGGCGCCATGTTCGAAAATTCTACGCTTCCTCATAATATAAATGGTACGTACATAATATTATATAGCTACATTTCGTTTTTTGTTTTTGTTAAGGATCCAATAGAGTTTAATTTACGAGAAGCATTGGTTGTTGAAATGTTCAATCGCATGTCTTACGGTATTTTAGTTTAAGTGTCGTTTTTCTTAATTTTAGAATATCCAAATGATAAATGCGTTGATTTTGTATGAATATTTATCTTTTGTTCATGTTGGTTTATAATGTGTACCTATAAATGTAGTCCAACGCTGGACATGAACGAACCAAAAATTTAAAGTTAAACTAAAAAGTCAATTTAATTTTAACTTTTTACATTAACCTGCAGTTGTTTTTAGATTTCGGACGATTTAACAACTACTGACAAACATTGTCTCTTAACTAGCGCGAAAGGGTGGAATTAGATTTTTCAATTCAATAAGTGGAGATAGTTTATTTAGATTTAAATTATATTTTATTTCATTATTTTTCGATTTCATGTCAAAATATATTTCGGGTAATGTCTTATGGCGATTTGTTTTTCTTACTGAAGAAAAACTTCAACCAATCACTACATAGAAATTTATACTACTAACTATAAAGTTTTAAGTTGGTAAAAAGTTAAGTATGCTAGTGTTAAAATCGATAAAAACTAGGCTTTTCAACTTGATAACAAATTTAAAAATATTGCAAATAACCCTTAACTTAATACTAAACACTAATATTTATAATTGCATTTGAATAGGTTTGATTTTAGTTTTTATAATCTATTCGTTCTTTCAGACCATGATGATTTTATTATTACGAGGCAGAGTTAAGAATTTATAGTTGTATTATTGTTTCCAGCTATATAATGTTTTGCTTCTATAGACGCCATATAGATGGGTGCTATTTGGGTTGCTGAGCACCCAATAAAAATTGAGATGACATTTTGTTAATAGCTAATAATATTGTCTTTAAAAAAAAAAGTTTTTTTATTTTATTAATTGATGGATAATATTGTTAAGGATGACACAATACACCATTCATGTACCTGAAGAGTATCGGTGTGTTTTTATATCGACTACAGTCGACGATGATTTACAGATGTATATAGCTTGACTGTTTTTAGTATTTTTTGATACGATTAATTAACTAATTCTCTGATCGTTTACCACAATGTTCTAACTCGATAACATGAATCTGAGGTCGGTGTTAAGAATGAAAGCAGCCCGGAATAACATAATTTTGGGACCAGGCCAAAATAATAATAATAATATGTACATCCATTATCTATATACCACAGCAGTGGCGCCCAACCTTTGGCCCGCAGAGGTGCAATTCTACAATATAGCAAATATAAATTACAAATACAATTACAAATTTATGTTATAGTTGTTATTTATTTAAGAGCAAATGACAACGTACCGTTGACTGATGTTCATGGCTTAAAATTAATCCGAATATTTTAAATATTTCATTGTGCAGTGTAAAAAAACCGTGCGTAATGTGACAATCGATAAAAAAAGGTAGTTTCCTTTTTTTATAACATTTTTATAACATTTCCTTACGAATAATATATTTTATGAAATTAAACGTGTGGAATAATGTATGAACCGTTCTGTAATTTCGTATTGCGCGTTTATAAAATGTTTTGCTAGCCAACATAAAAAAATTTATAAAAAAAAGCACCTAAAAAATATATGGCAGAGAAAGTGGTCACCCATCCAATTACTTAGCAAAAAACAAATACTTTATTTGACATACAGTTTTATGTTTATAGTAAAAAAATAATTTACATACCTTCTTACTTTTGTTATTTTAACGAATTCCGTATTTTTTTTTCATCCAATGCGTATATAATATATTCTATTGTTGTACGCTGTTATTTTCGTTATTTTTACCCGGTTGCATTGAAGATTAATTAAAAATTTTACATTTTATCTCCACGCCCTAGATCGTCAAACTTCAAATTCATCGTTCCCATAAAAATGTGATGGTATTTCTTGTAGATTTTTGAACTTCAGTAATAAACCAATAACTCACTGTGAGCGACTATATGGGTATTTAATTTTCAAGCCTCGCTAGATATAAGTGATAATTTGATGAAAATGTCAAAAGTTTCTACTGTCATTCGGTTTGAAACCTCAACGATAAGTAGGTCGTTTAATAAAAACACGTTTTTTGGCTCCTAAACACCCGATTTCGTCAAAATTTAAACTTTATACGGTCTTAGACTTGGTCCCGCATTTAACCTTCCACTATAATATTAACGTGTTTACGTTTTGTCCACAGTTTTGGCGATCACAGCCGGCGGACCAGACGAAGACACATACGGAACGTTTTGTGACACGAGCATAGAGCCGTGTCTGGCCGGACTGTTTTCATACGCTTGGATGAATTATGCCGAAAACGTAACATAATTATTATTTAATAGATTTCGTCCGCCGTATTCGAACAAGTTCGCATTAGATTTTTTTTTTTTTAAATATATTCCCACAGAATCCCGACGGATTGAGGAAGAGTCAAAGCGTGTTCGACCATTTCGACCATGTCCGAGACGACGTGGCGAACACGGCCAAGGAACACCCTCAACTCTACGGCGACTGGAATATCGGAAAGTTACCGATTAGTCAATTCATTGGTTACCAGAATCGCAACTCGTCGAGTTCAAAAACCACGAAAACAGAGCTCGTTGGTGACGTTTCCGGGGGCCATTCGGCATACGACAAAGACTCGATAATCGCAGAGGTCGAAGTACCTGTTGAGCAAAATGTAAATCGGCGTTTTTCTCAATAGCTAGCTGAGCATGTAACTTACGCGTAACGAAGTGATTGTGGTCAACCAACGAAAAAAAAGTAGCAAAAAAAAAAAATAGTTGAGACTTATAATATTTATAAATATACGACTATGATATCCAAGTATACTATATATTATTATATATATATAGATTAATGTGTAATATAAAATATTATTTTGATTGAATATAATAAATTAAAGCGGATTTCGATGATTATTATTCCGAAATTAATTCTGGCTATTCGTCACTGCAACGATTAATTTCTAGCAATAAACCTTCGACTTAGAAATTTTTCAAATTTTCTGAAAGTGTTTTTAGGAGCCGATGATGGTCATAAAATAAAAACAAGTATATATTAGCTAGCAACAAAGAATAACATTATACCGAATATGGCGAACACAATATTTCAATCAACATTTGAGGAAAATGCGCAAATATGTAAAGCTAATAATTTTTATTTGGTGTTGTTCGCCATAGACATCACTCAATGAACTGATATTATAATTTATTTTCGTCGTGTACACCGACGATTAAACATATTAAATATTACTAAAAAGTTTTTAATGACATAATGTCAGTATAGGTACTTAAGTTTTATCAAGAATATACTGTGAGTTTAAACAAAAATTTCCCAAACATTCCTGAAGAATACATTGAACATCACCTTTTGTATTATATTATGTTATTACGACTATTCACAATAAATCGAATTTCGTCTTCACTATAGTTATAACATATACTATGCTTATAATGCCCTAATTATGTTGATGGTTATAAAAATCTGGAAAAATGCCATAAAAATGTTTATAATATGTACAAGACTTAAAAAAACGGCCATACAATCAAAATACATTCAAAATACAATTAATTATTGATTTTTTTTTTAAATTGAAAATGTCAATAATATATATTCAAAACATCATTAGAATATAATATTGTGTGCTGTTAATCTAAAAAAGATTTGGAATGTTGTTTTAGGTAGATACTATTAAATTATTCGATTGGTGAAAAATATAAATAGGTTAATAATAACGACAAATAATTCACTCGTAATTCTTATCTGAATTGTTAAAAAAAAAAAGCATGACATGACCAAAAAACAAAAATAAATGCAAAACAAATTTAAAATGAAAATCAGTTCTATCCACGTAGGTGTTTTCGTATGTTGACTAAATACATTTTAAGCCAGGAAACCATCGTCTATGTCAGCGATAAGATCGCGATCCAATTTTGGGTAGAGAATAATTTTGAATGTGTCATCATGTGGATTTGCATAATATCTAGGTGACTAAGTTGAACGTTAATCGATTTTAACTCGACGCTATACATGCTTATAGATGAGGTCTAACGACTGTGCATCCAAAATCAGTACCCAATCGAGTTAAGATAGGGGACCGGGGGTCGGAGAGCTAGTGATAAAATAAAATTGATATATTATATTTTTAGAGACCCTTTTTTTTTTTATTATAGTGCATGATATGTAGTGTATGCCCTTTATGGTGTCTTCGTCCGAGTTATAAAAAATATAAAAAGCATGTAAACTATAATGCGAACTAAAATATTTACAGTGTTTGCATACTATTTTTTAATGTCGTTCCAAAATAATAGAGTTTAATTTTTTTTTGAATTAATACACTTCAAGGTTTTATAATAGAATGTGCTCTTCACAATATTATCGGGATAATTGGTATTAATACTTGACAACCACAGGAGTGCCAAATTTTTTTTAGTTTGCGATGATAAATTAATGCTCATTTCAAAAATGTAAATGCTCATTACTATAGGGTTGAAAACATTTATGATTACCATTATTATTATTATGATTACTGATTAATGTTAAAAAAAAATTGGGTTTTTACTTTTTAAGCAATCCAGATTCTGTAACGTATTGATTTTACAATGATAATATGTAGGTATTATGTATGTATTTTATTTTTATTTTTTGTGTCTGTTACTCTGTACACGTGAGAGTAATCGAAATAATATGCTGCAATTTTCAACTTCAATAAACTTTCAAAAACCGGGATTCTTAAGCAAGACCGGGTTTCGAAAAAAGTCGATGCCGTTTTTTTGATGTAGGTAACTAAAAAACAAATGACCGTACATACTTTAAAATGAAATAAATGGACAATAATTTTTTATGAGTGTTTGAAATTCAAATTTTTTCGACATTGGATTTTCACCCTTAAATTGTTGACGAAGTCTCATTGAACGATTATCTTATTTTGTGTTATTTTATAAAAAATGATCTCGAATACTTGACATTTTGGTCGGATGTTAATTTTATTATTTTCCACACATGAAATAATTTTCATAATATTTTGACTCCTTTTAAGCTGCATAAAGTCAATAAAAATTGATATCAAACGAGCGTGAACGTTAAACTTTTTTGGTCAAACGATACACGTGCGACTTAAAATTCACAAAGAAACAAATACCATTTAAAATGATTTTAAGAGCAACATTGCAATATTATTCAATTGGTTTTAGAACTGTTTAGAGTTTTGAATTGTATTAAACTAAAAATTCAAGTGTAACTTAAAATAAGAATTTGAAGACCTAAGATCCCTAAATAGTCAAAACAAAAATCAGTAAAAAATAAGCTGAAATAGAAACTTGTATTAATACTGTAAATTAAAACTTTTCAGATTAAACGAAAAATAATAATAATTAGTTTGATTATCAGATCATGTTAAATATTTAGGTTCCCCAAATAAACCGAACAAAAAACAATAAAACACATATTTATTTATAAATTGTCGGTGCCTAGCTGTTGACATATTTTTATTTCATCAGTGACACTGTCGCCCAAAATACAATATTTAATATAGAAAATAAGTGCGTGTTACTATCACGCTCGGAATCGAACCATCAATATGACAACATTCATGATTGATGGACCATTTGCATTGGCTTTTACGCTATATCCGTGTGTGGTTGACTGGCGATAATCTTTTTTTTTTGTATCCTCTGTTGAGATATATCATTTCAATAAAGTATGTTTTTTTTTTACAATATTATCATAAATAATTGTTGTAAAATCGCTGTATACCAATTGAATCCTGAAGGGGGAAAAATTGTATACTAATTGAGCCCCGGGTACAAACGGGACATATACTAATTGAGTCCGAGGATTATTTTGAGTAAAACATAAAATCGACAGTCCAGAGTTCAGACAAAGCGGAAATTATGCCGCACAGCCGTGCCACGATGCAAAATGGATATACGAATGTATAACGTTTGGTTCATATCATTTTTATGACTTTCGTCAGATAATATAGTAACATATTAACTATAATAGGCCAGGAATTTTAGATTTTATTTCTATCGTCGCTAGTATAATAATTACCGTCTACCGATATCACTATAGAAGATTACGCGACATACCTACTGATATTGTTCATATCGTTTTTATAACTTGGAATTTTTGTTCATTATATTATGCACTCTTTTTAAACCAAACATCATGGATGAAGAAGTTATACTACCTAAGTGAAAGAAATAAAATTACATTTATAATCGACGGATACAGATTTAGTTTTCATAAGCATTTAGCCAATAATTATCAACGCTGGACATGTTGCAAAAATAACTGTAAGTCGTCTTTTAAATTAAACGAATTTAATACTATAGTTGAGAAATCTATAAGTCATAACCATCAACAACATAGTGAATTTTTAATAAATAGACAGAACATTTAGCAATAAACTAAAACGCAAAGCATATTTAAATGATCCAGTTGAGAGACCTTGAACAATTATTCATAGAGAAGTAAGAGAAAATGACACAGATACATTAAATACCTAATTTTTAGTTTGCTGACAGTCCCGAGTCTGTACAAATGGAAAGGAAAATGTTTTTTTTTTTTTTTTAATTTGAGTCAGTTAGTATAAAAACATGGACTGAATTAGAATTATACATAAAATTTCGCTGAACTCAATTGGCATATACCCTAAAACAACTAAATTCATCATAAAAGGTTATATTGGGACTCAGTTCGGATGCAGCATGTAAAATAATTTTCTACAAAAAACATTACTAAATATACATAACAATGAATTCACAATTCAATTCAAAAAAACAAAACAATGATGTTAGATCTAAAAAAAAAAAATTATAACAAGTATTTAAAATATGGTGGAAAACTGTTTCAATTTCAACATTTTATTGAACTGAAAAAAATTGTATTCGATAAGATAATATTATAATGTAATATAATTCTTTGAAATAATGTCAATAATTTCTAAAGTCGACCAAAACGATAACAGTAATTACATTTTTTTTTATTAAAATTTTGTTTTTAAATATTGAATACGCATTATATGAGTATACAAATCAAAAATACTTTTTCCTTAAATTGACGAAATATGCATTCTAATTTTTCTTTTTTTAAACTCATGATCGTATATAGCTCAGATTTTTAACTAGGCATGCTATAAATCGAGATCATACGGATTACAGAATAATCATATGCAATCTTTAGATTTCCGAGCCCTAGTTGTGATATTCTATTAAAGACATTTGATCATTAAACTGATGTTTGACTAAACTTTGACGTAAACGTATTATAATTTTGTATTTTATTATAAACTTAATAATTTAAACGAATCGGACACACTCAAATCTCCCACAGATGGTCAAGAAAGAACCCCAATATGCGGAGCGTGCGTTGCAAGTAACCATCAATCATAATATTCTCACTGAATGACGAACATATCACAGCATCAGAACAAGTCACGATGGCCTGCCCGGATCATTAGCTGAAATACTCCACAATCGCCCTAAATCAATAGGCAACAGCATCCAATTCATCGGAGCCGCCAATATCTTCGAAACAAACTTTAAAACCAATATTTGGAATAAGTAGATAATAATATATAATATGACTTCATAAATTAAATTACAGTATCCCTCGTTATCCGCGGATTTTTAATTCGCGGTTGGGTCGGCGATAAAATGTTATCAATTATACATACGATGAAATTGTATCTTTATTGTACCCATTACTTATAACATATAGAGTACATAAAAAGCTGAATCCGAGAATTGCTGGTGCCTCACGAAGAAGTTCGCAAAGACGTAGAAAAC